TTTTTTTTTTTTTTTTGGTTTAATGTACCCATTTTGCTGCTGGAGTTCTCCCCTCCCCACAAAGAAAGAGAAAACCCAAAAATCAAACCTAATTATTTTTTACTGCCATGCCATTCCTCCCTAACCTGACTTAATTGTTTCTGTGAAAGGGAAATACACATTTTTAGCCTGCTTATTAAAAATACATGTTTTCCCATCAAAGGTAACATGGTAGGCCTAAGAGGTAGAATTTTCTTCTGAATTAATCTTACGAAAATGTTGTACAGAAGTTAGACTTCCCTTGATAACGCACATTAAATCGCTGAAGCATGAAAATACATACAAAATACCCTTATTTGCCTAGACAGTAAGAAACTTGTTAGCTATATATTAGCATTTCCCCTTCCTTCATTTGGTAGTGAACTAAATATTTCTTAGAAGTCTAGATAGTCCTTTGGTGTCATTGTTTCAGTTGTCCCTTTGGCATCTTCACAACCCACTCCACTTGTACACGTAAAAAAGTATTATGATTTTATTTTGAATGAATATACACTGATTTGAGGACCCTCCTGTAAATCATAGATATTATGCGGACCCATACCTTTTCATTCATTTTGTCCAAGTTAGGCAATCATTTTTTCTTTGGCAGCATTGTTATTAATTCTTTGAGCTTATTTTTCAGTGATGACTTCAGTAGTCATGAATTAAAACAAACCTTTAAATTTCTTTGTGTTGAATTTGTATCTTTTTGTTTTGTTTATGTTTGTTGCTTTAGCATTTGATTTTTCTTAATTCTGTAGGAGGAAAACTGAAACCTAGAGACGAAAAAAAATGCATTATAACTAAGTTACTGGGCTAGCTACTATTTTATAATACTTGGATCAGATTTAGGATGCTTTAATTTGCATAATGAAGTCGAAAAAAATTGGCTTATGAAATTTAAAAATTTAAACTGGTAACACTGCCTATATTTAAAATCTGCACATATGTAAAGAAGGAAGAAACAGTTCACAGCCATATACAATTTAAATCTTTTTTTCAAAGGAGAAATTAAATTTTGGTAGCATCCTTTTAACCTTTTTGCATATTATTTATATATATATATTTAAATTTTAGTTTCAGTCTGATGGAAACAAGCAAGAAGATAAAGAGAAAACGGTAAGTGATTAGAAAAATCCGATATGCATCTAGTATTTGTCTAGGTATAGCATACTGCACAATTTATGGCAACAAGCTTTAGTCACATGTGAGTTATTATTTTATACTTTACATGTTTAATATAGTTTCTAGTAGATTATACAAAGTTACCTTTTAATTAAGAACCTCCTTTTTTGAGGATTAACATGTTGAGAAAGGAAGAGATATAAATCTCTCATTCTCTTTCTTCTCCTTTCCTTCCCTCACCTCATTTGCTATCCTAAAAAAAAAAAAAAAAACCACCC